CATCCATCCATCCATCCATCCATCCATCCATCCATCCATCCATCCATCCATCCATCCATCCATCCATCCATCCATCCATCCATCCATCCATCCATAATAACTTAAATTACTGGATGTTCGGCTCCCGAGCTGTTGACCGAGCTGTTGTAACTGTGGCCCCCGGAACTATTCAGTTGAATAGCCCTGCTATAAAAGTAGTGATAATTAAACAATATCAAAATCAAAAATAACACATTATGCCTCCTTTAACACAAATTTTATTTTGACATCTCTGAATTGCCAAACTTTTAAACCAATTTTATTTTCACTTTCATAGTTTTTATCTTCAACTGCTTGTAATTTTAACTGTCTTGAGTGATCATAGAAATGGTTTTTACCAGCTTCTAGCCGAGATTCTGACGTTTCTGTAGATACCAAACTTGTCTATTTTTAACCAAAACAACTTAGAGTAATTAAATTAGAAAATCAAGGGTTTGGGCTTAAGAGATGAATGAACCAATTGGCGGGCCAAACTTTGGTCACTCGCAGGCCACCAGTTGAATAGCCCTGGTTTAGGGCTACCATTCCACAATTTCTAACTATAAACAGTTGGGTCCCCTTCACACCAGATAACAACTTTGCAAAAATGTTAAATATCAGTGGATTTCAGGGTTATGGCAGTCCTCAGGTGTTTATTAAGAACACACTAGGGGTGTGAGAGTAGGGGTGTAATCACCAGTTTTATAATGATAAAATATTATATTGATTAGTTTGGATAACGACATGATGTTTCTCAATATCACAAAGTCTGTCATGATATCATTTTAATTCAGTTTAATTCACAAGTTTGCACTCGATACAATGCAGTCTCATACACTAACACAAATGACTGTGTTAGGTGGGTATATATCAATCCACATCGTTATTTGATGTCAATATGAACTGATGTTTTCGTTCTGCCTTGATGTAATTGAATCATTAATCATTTAATGGCTATGTTAATGTAGACTGATGTATTGTTATACCCCTAAACAACATGAAGGCAAGCATGAACAAAAATACCACATCAAAGTAAAGTTGGGTTATCATTGTGATAACAACATACCCATAAAGACTGAGACTTTCAATCTCACATCTTACAGTCTGTGACAAAAAATTATAACTTTTATCTGTTGTCTCCCACCTATTGTACATTTCCCCCTGTCAGAAATCTGTCTTGAAGATCAGTGCGCTCCCAGAAGCTGGTTAGTAATTTGGCAACGTACAATCAACGTTTATGTCTTCTTACAAAAAAGCGAGTTTCCTCCGACTCCTCATCCAACGTCTGATGCGTTATTGAGTAAACAAAACTATCATGCTATCACTGTAGTTGTTTATCTGCTTAGTTAGGTRTGCTATACTGGGCTTGCTGCTGGAGGGTTTATGATGATTTAACCCCTGCGTCTACTAGAATATAAATACTTGTAATGATGTAATGATACAGTCTCATGTCTTGTGGATGTAGAAACCAGCATTACGATGTTAATTCTCAACAGCTGAAGTACGCCCCAGGTCAATCACACATAAAGGGAATTTTGCACCAGTTGGCTTAAATTGTGGTGTCAAGGGAAATGTACCATTTCACACAACTGGATTTTTTTTGTCTGCACACTGTTTTCTCATTTTAAGCGTGTTTCAGTAGAAATTTCACGCCAATCTCTGCACATGAGACCCATTTTGTTTTTGTTTTAACCTACTAGGATTACCACATCCTGAACAACTAAAAACTTTCACTAACTTCTGATTTATGTTTTTCTTTTTCTTCACCATTTCCCCTCATCCCTTGCTTCCCTGTAACAGGAAGCTGAAGAAGCTGATACGTGCACTGAAGGAAAAAAAATCCACATCGAAGGAAAGCGATGAGGAGAGACCTCCACAGCAGTGGAACCAGGACTACGCTCTGGTTCCTTTTGAAGGCCTCACACCAGAATACATGGAGATGAGTGAGTGCTCATTCAGGGACTCTCAAATCCAGACCTAGCAGCTATGTATTCAGAAAAATCTGTATTTATGTTTGGACATTACCAACTTTTCCAAACTCGAGGCTGTTTCCCTTTACGAGCAGTGGCTGTTTAGATTCCTTTCACAAAGTAATAAGCACCATCTGTGAGGGAAGAGATCAGGAAAATAGATACACTGTCCCGAAAAGATCTCTATTTATATCTGGTTGTTTTCCAATAGTCAGAAGAAAGTTCACTGCCCCGCTGTATGTAGAAAATCTCAAAATGTCCATGTCACTCAGAACCCACAATGCGTAAACACTTGAAATGTAAGAGCACATTCAAGATTGTTCTGTCTTCGTGAATAATAAGTCTGTTCAAAAACATCTCTTTACTGTAACAAGTAAGTGACAAATTATTTGGAATTGTACAGCATGTGAAAAAGTACACCTGCTTTTAGTTATAGCTTTTAAAACAAGATATTAATCAAATATAAATCATCTGGGTGCACCAGGTCTTTAAATTGGATACTCATGACAAAGTACACAATCTTTATCTGTTTACCAAAATAAGCTTTAACTTATCTTATTGTTGCTGAGAATTTTGGCCCACTTTTTTTTATAACCAGTTCATCGAAGTGTTTCTGCACAGCACTCTCTACTCTACAGGACACCGTTTGTTCAGTTTTTTACTGTTTTCTCAACCAAACAGCATTTATGTTATTACACAAGTGTACATGTGTGGAGCATAGTTGAATCATAAAGCAGCACCATCAGAGAAAAAAATTGTTGTTTGCTGACAGTGTTTTGCAGATTTTTACACAGAACCTAGCTAACAGTAGTTTGCTTTAATCCCTGCAATATTGTGGAAATTCTAAATACATTAAATAAATTACAGTAAGGAACACCACCTTTTTTCATGTTTTTTTTGTGAGTTTTCAAGCTAAGTTATTAAGAACAATGTAATTGATAACTTTGTGACATTAAAGTCAAATTAGTTCCATTAAAAAAAACTGAATACCATACAGCATATTATACCGCAATCCGATGCCATACAAACCACGCTGTAGACCTTTTCTAGATCGCATCCAATTGTCACATTTTTTTCACAATTTGTGGTTGCTCTAAGAACATAACCCCCGCAAAAATCTTAGCTTCATTATATTCTCAGCATACATACATTCATGTCGTAACATGTACATAGTTTAGTAGAGAAAATGGTGACAAACTAAACAACTGGTCTCATGCAAAATTGCTGTAGCTAAATATTTATTGTAACTTTTGTTGATACTAACTGGTATGTCGTCTTTTGAGAAAAGTTGCTTTAATGGCTGAAAAAATGTTTAAGAAATTGACATTCGTTAGCCATTAGACTAGCTTGGATGGAGACTTTTGCCACTTTCTTCAAACTTCTTGCTCTATGGCTGATGTTATGGCTGATGGGTACCGACAGTCTGTAACTGTTAGATTGACCAACCTGTCAAAGTCGAGTGGGCAATTAGTTTAAGTTCCAGCTACTAATTCAAACAGATTTTGGTCTAAAGTTTTACTGGACCACTGCAGTAGTATTTTCTATTTACTCTCTTTTTCATCCATTTTGGGATTCTTGTAGAGTCAATGGGCCTCATGCAAGAACATGTTCGTATTCTTCTCCTAAATTTCTCTTACTTTTGTTCGTATGAAGGGTTCGTACGAACATGTCACGTCAGATTCAACAAACTCTTCTATCTTCAGGAAACGTGCGTAAATGAGCTGCGTAATTTACACCTTTTCTATCCAGC